TGACACACAAAGAAAAACGTGCAAAGAAATGAGTAATTGCTTTAACGAGTTAAAGTGTGTTTCACGGGTTAATGAAAGCAACTCACCTACACTTGGTAATGAAGCACAAAGTCAGAATTTTTTTGTGTTTTAAATAGTTGTAGAAAATAGGATAATCTTTGAGGAGTCTCATGACATTTTTTGTACACAATGCACAAAACATGCCATCTCAAGTGAGTTAAGGCCTGGGATTTTAGGCGATATCAAAAAAATTAAAAACGTTATATTTTAACTAACATTTACTGTAGAGGAATAAGCTTTGGTGTCATGAAGAGAATCATGATCCTTGGAATTTTTAAATATGTTTTGTCCAAATATGGAGGTCACGTGACCCAAAAGACGAAAAAACAGTAATTTCAAAATGGGGTAATGAGAATGTACTTTAATGAAAGTTTTTTTGATTTCAAAGTATTTAGTAGACCTAAACCAACTAGACCTGTCCTAGAATGGATGACTTTCTAAATAAAATAAGGAGAAAACAGCAGATTTTCAGAAGTGAATTTAGGTCACGTGACCTATTTCACCAAATATCTCCTTAACGGCAAGTGATGGACAACCATTCTAGGACAAGACTTGAAGACAACCTACTAAGAGATAATATTAACCTAAAACCGACATTTTCAATGTATGTTCTGGTTACCCCATTTTCAATTGAATTTCTTTCCATGGAAATGTCACATGACATGTCATGTGACCTGCCGATAGAGATTTTAACAGTCTTAAAATGTTAAAGTCGTTCAAAACTACAAACCTGCAAAGTTTTATCGAAATCGTTTGAGAATTAACTGAGATATAAAATTAAACCACTTTTATCTAATTTGCATATGCTGACCCAGGCCTTAACTCACTTGAGATAGGAAATTTCCGTCAAGTCACTAGATCTAAAACTACTAGCAGAAAGTCATCACCAGTGGATGAGCTTTGGCGACGTTGGTGTTTTCACTGGAAAAAATTGCGCACTTTAAAAGGTTGTTGTAAATTTGATGTAAGTGTCCAAAATGATGTAAATTTGTTGTAAATGATTTACATCAATTTAAATCATTTTGGACACTTACATCATATTTACATCAAATTTACAAACTTTAGTGCGAGTTTTTTCCCAGTGTTAGGCTGTAGGTGAAAGCGAGTATAAAAAGGAGCACAGTGGTTACATGGCAGCTCTGTCCCTTCCAACACATCCAGCATCGTCACATTGCCAAAGTATTGAGATGTTACCTATAATGTCCTTGGGGGAGGGGAGGGACGGCAAAATGTCCAAATAGTATGCGAATATTTAACAAGTATAAAGTAACAACGATGTAGCTTCCGTAAGAAGACGTTTCAAGCGGTTCGATAACCGCTTGGAATCTGCTTACGGACGCTTGTCACGATCAGGCAGCGTATCAAGCTAGCGTTAGTGAATAGCATAAATCGAGGGTGAACACACCCCAATCACTGTATATAATGACTTGATTACTCAATGCATTGCAAGTCAAGTATTTGACATAATTCTTCAGAAGTCCGAATGTTAAAGCAAATTATTTCACGGATATGATAAATACACTATATTAGTGTTCAGCAAAGTATTCGTCGTTTTCACTGTACATACGTCAAAGCGGACATCTTGGAAGAACTT